TTATTTTTATGGGATAAGCCGGTAATCGAGCCGACTTCACCAGATGGTAAGCAATCAACGTCTCCCATTGACACCCGGAACACCAGAGTCGTTACAAGTGCGTTACCAGCCTTTTGGGGATTAGGAATTTGACGATTGTTGGGGATTCAGAATTTGGGAGATTGAAAAAGGGGTGGTAATTGGGCCTCGGGTAACTGCGAACTCACTCACACGACGAAACACAACGCAAGCGTTGTTTCTGGTCGGGCTGGCCCATTCGTGCTGAACTGGCTCTCCCGCACTTAATTATATTAATTACCTTTAATACTTGGGAAACAATATGATTTGGTTCATGAAAAATAACTTTCAAAGCTCAATATTAGAATATTATTATAAATAGTAAATGGCAAAGAGTAATCCTGTTGATGTCTTTAGATTAGTAACTAAGTGAATGAATATCGGCAATTAAACAAAAGAACAAAGGTGTTGCTTCAATACCAACTCAATTAAATTAAAACCTTCTTACACAAAATTAGAAAAAAGAAACAAAGACCATTCAACATTATCTCTAGAAAACTCTAGCATTATCAGTAGCACCCAGTATTTTTCCAATTAGGTATACCCAATTCCAAATATACTTAACAATCTCGTTAATCCCAAATAAATTGGACAAGCTAGAATGGATTATCGATAATAGGGGGATATGTTTCAGTCTTTACTCTCATTCTGAAGGGCTCTGTTTTTAGATTCCAATATAAAAGCTTATTTTAGGTAAAACACTGTATTGAACGTGTATGTATGAAATTGAGAACATTCTATTCTGTACTTTATTTTAATAGGGGATTCTGGTTGTCTGTAATAATACTAGCTTACTAGACGTAGGTCGTAAGTTCAGCCAGAGGTTATTTGATAAGTAAATTTGTGAAGCATATATGATAATAATTATAGCATAATATGGTATTATAATATAAAGGGATAATTTTTAAAATATCAACATTTTGTTTCTGATTTTTTGAATTCGTTTTAGTATGGTAAGAAACAATTTTAAAACCATTTCAAAAATTGATACTCAATGATAATAATTAAAAAGAAAACAATATTTAGATATGTTTTGTTGCGGAGAACCTAACGGGTTACCGGGGCTCCGGCTCGACGTGCAGGAGAAGGAACGGGGTGGTTTTTAGTCAGTAAGAGTCTGACACTTCCTCCCGCCTCACCCAGGCGGGAGCAGTCATTCGATGATTTTCCCCCCTTAAAAATTTTTTTTAAGGTTTTCCTTTCCATCTTTCACATTTCAACGCCTCAAATCTCACTCCATGTTATTTCGTCACTACATACTAAAAGGAAAATTTCATACCAATCTACAATTGCTGAAACATCCAAATAAATTAAGCTTAACCCCAAAAAGAAATCCGATAACCGTTTTTCATTTTACCATTCATTACCGCTCGCAGTTGTACTTATATAAATATTTTCCTTTTAAAACAGCAACGAACGACAAAGCAATGTTTCACACCATAGTAGGCTGTAGGAACTGAAATTTATGAGGCAATTGGACGTAATAAGCATCCGATGACAGTTCCGCTCATAATAAACCCCAGCATTGATCGCTCGATAGCTAGGGATTGATTAACTCGTTATCGATAAACAATTGTCGATAAAAATTAAATATTAACATTAGGTAAGCCATTTCCACATTGTTTCTATTGCGTTAGCTGAACCATATTTTGATATATTTTCCAAACAAAATGTGCCCTAATAGGATAGGAGCTAGTTACGCATAATATCAGCAACATAATATCAGTAAACAACATATAATTAAAACAATTTAAATTGTTAAGTTTTGCCAAAGTATAGACAAGCTTAATCTTTGACTGCGTTTAGGTGTCGCATTGTTCTCACACAATCGAACCAACAAAACTATGTAACTAGAGAATTGTATTGTAAACCCGATTGAAAAAGAGTAACCTATGAAGTTTCTTGTTCGTTCTTCTCCATAGGATCTACACTTTGGAATGAGCAACTAGCTTCACTTCAAAATTTTTGTTGTTGACGTTTGACGTTCAAAAGTGCTTTCCTGGTCTAATTGAAATAAATGGTTTTGACTTTGACTTTAATGCATCACTATTTTTTTTAATGCAAAGTACCTGGCCACATTTTCCAGTATCAATATTCAGTATTTCCAAAAACGAACAACTCAATAACACTATTACCCGACTCGGAAATTAACCTTGCTTTTCACGCACGTCTGCGAGTACTCATCCAACAGGCAGTCTATCGATAAAATAAATCATAGCCAATAATGTTATTGTCAGCGTATTAGTGGATGCGAATTTATGGCCTATTTATTTGGATGTTGAACATAATTTTCATGCTAGTTTCCGTTAGCAAGTTATGTATATCTACTGGTTGACTTTATGCTTACTCAAATATTTATTGAAGTGAGTATTGTTATGAATGACTGACTGGTTTTTAGCTTGAGTTTATGATTTCTGATTATGGATTCGAGTGGATGTTGTTTGCATTGATCTTGCTTTCGTTTATTGCTACTTTTTTACTGTTTTGTTAAACACAACGCTTAACTTTCTATGTGTAAAGATGTTTCTATATAAGTGACATAAAGTGAATGTTACATTTTACTAATAAAATTTATTTTTTTGTCTTTGAGAATAAAGGGAATGAAACAAAGTTGAAATATTTTTTATATCAAGTAATGAATTTTTATAGCACTAGATATTATGAATCAATTTGCTTCAGAAGACAATTCTCCCTTCTATACGTAATTCATTTTTCACATTTATCGATAAACTTAAACAGCCCATCTCTACCAGTAGAGCATTCCGTCGACAATGAGCGATGTAACACTCAATCATTGCCGCATCTCTATCGTCTCTATCTAGAGACACCTAGACTCTATATAACGTTGACTGATCACCGTCTACTCTACTTGTAAAGGGTTTCTCTGCTATTGTATGAGAAATGTGTTTATTTGAAATTTTAGTAAGATATTTTATACTATGTTGAAAGAGTAGTAATGGTCAGTATCGGTACTAAATAATTAAGAGTAGCATTTAAAATTAGCAAGGCTAAGAATTTTACGGTTGAATCCTTTTTGTGTACGAATTCCATTTTTAATATATTGTATATACTATATATAGTGATGGATAAAATAGTAATTTTGCGTAATTAAGACTCTTGTCTGCAACAAGATACTTTTATATTTCACTATACCTTAGTATCTTTACATTAATCACAGATTGTTATCTTCCTTTATTTTTAAAGATAGAATTTCTAGATATTATAAAAACTACTTCAACGCAGACATTGTCAACAAAATAACTACGAAACTAGTGAACGAAAACTTCGAAGTATAACAAGGAGCATAACTAAAACTTAGTTAAACTTTAAACCCTTCAATTCAAAACTAAGTACAAGATCTAATCCTAAATCCGAATAACATTTGAGATGCTCCCAAACCGCTAACCAAAAATGTTTAAACCATAAGTAATTAAAACTGTACCATTAGTTACGGTGACTGACGACTCTCTCGGTTATAACAAGTTTGAACCAATTAATTCTTCTGTAACTACTTAGGTATTGAACAAAGTTTTTAATTTAAAACTACGCAAAGGACGTCAGGCGAAGTGTGTTCGGCCGTTACGTCAACTTGATAGTTAATTAAAACAGGCTAACTTTTCTTTATTCTTCTTCTTCTTTTAGGCCGAATTGGTTATAGGTATTCTAGTCAGCCTTTTCAAGATCTTTGGATTCTGGTCTTTTGAGAATGTTTGAAAATTCAATTTGACTTATTAGTTAGCTGCTGGTTGAGCCTGCTCTTCGACTAATGTTTAAGACTTTTAGGTTTATAGTAAAATTGTCAGTTAGGTATAGTATAGTCTTCTTTTTGATAAAGGCAAACATTTCCAGGCATGTACCTATTTCTGTAAATTGAATAAACTGGTTCATTGAACTTCATCTATGGATGATATAAGCACTAGATACAAAACTACTTAAATAAATACCTTTCGAAGTTGAATGGAGCGAATAAATGTTAAACAGAAATGTCAACAATACTGCAGATTTAATATTCCACAGTTTGCATTTTTCTAAATAGTCATCTAAATTCTAACTAAGTGCTTCAAGACAACTTTAAAAAGAATTGTCAGAAGTCAGTCCTTCGGTCTGATATTTATTAAATGCTGACGTTGATAGATTTTATCTTTCTGCAAAAATAATGCGTTCATTTAGAAGTCTAACGTCTAATACCTCAAAAAAGAAATAAAATTATTTTCTAAGACTTAAAATGTCAACTAGGATTGCAAATTTTATCTGTGGCAATGTGCATTATTAAAATACAATGTTGTGAATTTTGATAATCTTTTGAAGATGATTATCTGTGTTTGTGTATTGTTGATAACTCATTATTAATTACATGAAATTCAATATAATTAGCTGTAAAGGAGTGTTTGAAAATACAACTTTGTTACTCACTAGTCTAAATATCATTTTAACTTTGTATAAATATAGATTATTTGCAAAATACCACTGACAAACGGTGAAGGACAAACATCGTTAGAAAACCTGGGCTTATAATTTCTAAATATAAATTTGAAATCGCCAACCCGCATTGAGCAAGCGTGGTAATTAATGCTCAAACCTTCTCCGTGGGAGAAGAAACCTTTGTTTTTTTTTTAATTGCGTGTTTGTAATCGCACCCACACCAGGATTTTCTCCTGTATCGTGGGTCCGATTACAAACATACAATATCACATACACATGACACCCAGACCCGGAACAACAATCTTTAGATCGCACAAAGAGTTGTTCCGTGCGGGAATCGAACCCGCGACACGTTGCGCGGCAGCCAGTTGCCCAGTCACCGCGCCAACCATGCAGTCAAACAACAGTAAAAAAAACTATGGTCAGCAGTGGCCACTTATAGGCAATTGATGATGATGATGATTAGATTATTTCAATTTTTTTTTTCTTTACAGATCCAAGGCAAGCCAATAATTCAGCAGAGAATTCTTCCAAGTCCAGTGGTGTCAATAGATGCTCCCCACAGCTTCAGAAGTACTGCAACTCCTGGTGATGAGCACAACAACATCATATTCAGCCCTTGGAAGGCCTTTGGACCCTTTGTGGATACCATACAGGTATGAAAAACATTTTCTATGAAAAAAAATATATAAAAGAATTCGCTTTTGTGCTTAAAAATTGTGGTACCATAAATTGGACCAAAAATGTTTTTTTTTCCATAAAGTATTATATAAACAGTCTGTATCACTGATCAAAAGAAAATATATTTTTAAACCTACCTATGTATACTGTTTCGCATAGTGAAAAGGGGAATTTTGATGTTTTTTTTGTATTATTGAGCTATTTTAGAACACATGACTGGCTATTTTTTACTACTTCTTGTGTTACTTTTCACTCACTAATTAATATAATGATATAACATCACGCCTTTTATCAGAGGTACTTAGGCAGAGGTGCGTATTACTGCATTTAAAGCCACTGTAAAATGTAACACTCACTTTTCCCTACATATGTTATGAGTTCCTATGTAATAGGGGGCGAGCCTATTGTCCAATACCGGGCATAATTACAGACTCCGTGCTACTAATGACAATAATAAAAAAAATCAGTAATAATTTGACCGACCCGGGAATCGAACCCTTGCCCGGCGTCGCACTTGCGACCACTCGGCCAACGAGACAGTCACTAATTAATTCTAACTTAATATTACTTTGCTTGAAGCGTATGTCCTTAGAATAAAATAACAATTGAGCATTTCAAAGCAAACTGACAATTGTAAAATAAGTAGGCAAAAAAAAAATATAAACTCTTTGCTCAATAAGCGAAAATATCATAAAACATCTCATTATAAGACTCGGAATGTGCCTACATCAAATAATAATGAGCATTTCGAGATGAAACGCCTACGTGAATAAAAAAAAAAAAATTGAAATGAACAATTTTCCCTTTCTAGTACATACAAAAAACAACTGGACACTTTAAGTCAAAATGAAGGACAAGGGATCAGGTACTGTTCTAAAGGTTATAGAGAGAATCTTGTGTAAGGGATTTTAGAGAATGGCTATAAATTTTATACTAAGCCTTCTAGGAAATTTAATATGATATTGACCAGCTCCTACGCTATGTATTAGTCAAAGGTCAGATCCGAGAATCTAGATACTGCAAGAAAACTTGACCTTCTTAGCTAATGTTTGACTTTAGTTAGATACCCACTTTGGCAATTATAGTTAGCAGTTGCTGGTGACACGATTGAAGTAGTAAAAAAAAGAAAACCATACAATTTTTGGAATTAAAAAAAAACATCAATACGCGATGAACGTGCTCGTTTTAATACGGACGTCATGACATATAATGGTTTATGTTTTAATTTAATATTTTCGAAAATTTGTACTGGCTTTTAACTCAGATAGTTCATACAAATTACGCAGTACGTCCTTTATTTGCTAGATAGTGGTTGTCTAGAGTATGTAAAACCGGCTTTAAGTTTTGGAAATAAAACTCTTTTATAACTTCATCCTTATTTCTAAACCATAAGACCTATATTCATTTAAGCACGCACAATCAACCCAGGGGTTACAAGTATTAATATTTTCAATATAAAACATGGCTGACGCAGAACAAATATTGCCCTCTAATTGGTTTCTGACGTTGATTAATGATCTGATGCTGAAGCTGTTCGCCCTCAATCGTCTCGCCACCGTGAACATATTCATTATGGGCGGTGAAATTGTAGTATTTTGGCAAACGTTCCCAAGGAAGTAAACAAATGTTACACTGTGGTTGTTTAGCCATTATATTTGGTATAAAAAACTGCACGTTAATCAACAAGCCTCCAAATGTTTATACATACGTTTATTCCGTGCAACAGCTGGTCACAGTGCCCACTATGCAGTCTGTGCTAGAGATGTATGGCTTTTAGTCTATTGACATGTATAATTCCGGCTACAGCACTATTATAAAAATATTAACATAACACCACGCGGTCACGCCTTATATCCTCGAAGGGGTAGGCAGAGGTGCACATTATACCACTGTACAATGTAACACCCACTTTTCACTATTTATGTTATGAGTCCCATGTAATAGGGGGTGAGCCTATTGCCATATACCGGCCACAGTTCCAGACTCCGTGCTACTACTCAGATTTTTTTTAAAAAACCCAGTAATACTTTGCCCGACCCGGGAATCGAACCCGAGACCCCTTGCCCGGCAGTCGCAATTGCGACCACTCGGCCAATGAGGCAGTCGCAATAAAGTATTGATGCGTACCTAAATAGTACCACTTTGATATTTGTAAGACTTCCTAACTGGAAATCGAACTGTTTATTTTAGTTAAAAACAAAGCATTTCAAAATTATTTTAAATACACTTCAAACGATTGCAGAGTTAATATTGTTGCGGTACAACAGCCACCGCTAATCGCGTGCCTCAGCCAGTGGTCGAAGTGCGGCGGCTAACATTCAACACTCTAATTAGCTTAACAAAGGAGGACAGTTCAAGAAACACTTTCAGATATTTGAATTTGAATGCTCTTGTATTATTTTAAAGTTTCATTTGCTTCGTGATCTCGGTATTTAATTTTCTGAAAGAGTAGAAAGGTGAATGTTACACTTACATAGATATTGTATTTAACGTAACATTTAAGGTGGATAAGTTGAGCTGTAAGTTTATAAACATGCAATGGACATAATAGCAGATTTAGGATAGTTAGGAAGATTTGTTTATTTCGATAAATTAAACGACCTACGAACTGTAAGACCAAATAACCTTATAATACTTTCGCGGAAGCCCATGAAATTGCGACCTGCGTTATCTTTCTTTAGTTAGTAGTACTTTTTAATAAGCAATTTATTTCCAGGAGGGTGAATTATTACCAAGTCAAGACACGGTCGTGTTGCCTTCACCCAGGCATCACGACAGCTCTATAGATGAAGACGCCACAGATCCTATGCCGACTGTAGCGGCATCTAATAAGGTAAAATAACATATTAAATAACACTATGTTATCTTTTGTAGAATCCTATGAACTTGTATTCACTATTCATAATATAATACCTATTACACTATTGTGTTGATTCATAGCGACAAACTTTAAAAAGGATTATACGAAAATATCTCAATAAAAAAATCTTCTTTTTCTAAGGTTGCTTCAATAAGCCAATTATCCTTCATGGTGAGGCCAGACAGCTTCGAGCGAGGCCAGTTACGACTGACCTGTATCTCCACAGTCCACTCGGTGTACAGTGAACAAGCCGAGCTGGTCATCAATGAGGAGCGGCCTCAGATCGCTTCGGTCCTTGGAACCAGGGATTCAGCAGGAGGTAAGGATAATTCTAAATTGAAAAAATCTTTAGAATTTATTAGTCTATATAGCTAGCACAAACATCCTCAATTCTATGGTGAGTTTACGAAAACCATAGACCCCCTTAGTTTCTACCACTCATAAAACAAATGAGATAAGAATCAAGTCACAAATAATGAAGTAATAAGTAACAAAAGAATGGCTTCAGCAGTCGTGTTCGATGTTCCACGCGGTAAAAGTTAATCCAAACTCAATATCAGAAAAGCAATAAAAGTGAAATAAATGCTATAAATACTATTATTAGTGTGCGTGGAAAACACTCGGACTTGTATAAATCATCGCTTTTATCGGAGCATTTAAAACGTTTTTCGACATTAATCACGAATGGATCGAAAGCTTTCACGGCTCGTCACGGTCCAATAAACAACATTATGCAGTACCTGTTACTGGAAATAAACTAGAAAATTGCCCTCGTTCAACAAGAACAGACCGAGCCAATATTTTCCATGAGGAATTTTCTTTGAGATTTAGACTTTGGATCTCGGTTCAATACTTTGAGTGGCGAATCGCTAAGAATTTTTATTTCTCGATGTAAACACAACGTTTGAATACGTAGAAAGCACACCAATCCCACTCTACAATTCAAATATTTGTAGCAGCCGACTTGCAGTGCAATTTGCCACGAGAAGTTTTCCAGAAAGCTGCATCTTCGCAAATATGTGATAAATGCAAAAATACATTGTGAACATAATTATTTTACTGATGGAAACTATTCTTGGGGAGTACGCAAGCAGTTAGGAAGATTGCCGATAACTGCACTATTATCGTCTTGCACACTTATTTGAACATGCCCTCTTGAATTCTTGGAAACTTTGTTTTATCCTAACAAGGTTCTTTGTTCATATTACAAATTTCTTATCATAACAATACTTCACGCCTTTTGTTTCCGGAGAGGAGGGTTATTAGGTAGAGGTGCATATTGCGGCACTTAATGCCACTGTACAATGTAACACCTACTTTTCACTATTTATGTTATGAGTCCCATGTAATAGGGGGTGAGCCTATTGCCATATACGAATGCATATGAAAATGTTTGATACAAGAAGAAAAATGGACTGCGTCGTTGGCCGAGTGGTCGGAAGTGAGACGGCTGGGCTCGTGGTCTCGGGTTCGATTCCCGGGTCGGGCAAAATATTACTGGGTTTTTAAAAACCCTTGCAACCACTTGGCCAACGATGCAGTCTAATTTTCTTCTTGTATCAAAAGTCTTTAAATGATGTTGGAAGATTGGTAGGAGGTCTATCACTATTGCACTATTACCTATAATCGTAAAATGATCACGTGTCTATTTAAAAATCGTTTGCTAGACAACGTGTTGAATAGAAACTTTCACAATGAACGTTATATCATATGTTTGGTCTATCATAATTATTACGTAACAATAATATTAGCCGTTCGAAATAATAAAAAGTTTTCTACATTAAAGACCCTCACAACATACATTTTCTTACTAACATTTATAGAATTTTATTTAAAATCGAGTATCACAAAGTTTGCTTCCGTGATCGAATCAGAAATAAAAGGATTTACTGCAGGACTGTAAGCAACCAACATTGTAGGACGAATTGCATAACTTAAGTGGCAGTTGCTCGACATTCAATAAACTGGAACCTTATTGTAGTTTCACTTTCATCGAATTCGATGAATTGATGAATGAAGATAAATTTAATACCTATACCATCAAAAATCGGAGTCGCGGAGCACCTAACGGATTACCCGGGCTCCAGCTCAAAGTGCAGGAGAAGGAACGGGGTGGTTTTTAGTCAGTAAGAGTCTGACATTGCCTCCCGCCTCACTCAGACGGGAAAAGTCATTCGATGATATTTCATTCTTAAAAAAAACATACCATCGAAAATAGGTAAGTTACTGAAACCTGTCATTACTTAACGTGTTTCTGATTTTTCATCAGAGAAAACACTTGAAGTCTTCAGTGTATTTCTGATCAAAGATCAGAATCTATTAATAGTGATGAATGAATTTTGCATAAAACCTTTATGTTTATATGAAAAATGCCACAAAAACGCGTAAAGTAATAACAAAACATCAATATGAATGTTCACCAATAACGAGTATTAACAGTTAGTGGAACGTCAAATCGGCAAATCCTTCTATATGTAGGCAATCACTCAAATATTTGCTAGTGTTGGTATCTAGTATTGAGGATGTTTGTCGACTGTGAACGTTCCGGTCCACTGAGCAAAGGTAATGTTTAGCATAGCTTGCGTTGTAGTCTCTTGTTTGTGAGCGCGCAAATAGCTCGGATGTACCGTCGCGTCGCATCACCCTGGATTATCGCGTATTTGCATTTGTGTGACTTTGGCAACTTAAGTTACTGGACTGTTTTGGTAAAGAGACTCGATCGTTTTGGTTTACTTAGTAATCGACGTTCTACATAACAGATAATACAACATGTCCACTTTGCTTATTATTAGTTTGATTTTCATGTACGGATTTTCGAATTTGATCCCTTGTTTGGCAAAGCATTATTTGTGTTTAAAACACCCTTAAAATTTATGAAAACTGTAATTTATGCATCATCTTTTGAGCTAAATGCTCACATTTTCTTACTTACTACCTTTATCATCACATTCCAGGCATTATGAACTGTTAACAGTTAAATAAAAGATAGTGTATTTATTGTACAGTATCGGCTTCATGTCATCGCCTCCTGTGTGTAACTACCTATTTGTACGACAGATATTTGTAAATTACATTGCGTAGCTGTCAATGTCAAAGGTTACACGCGAATATAGTGGGAATATAGGAAAATGGTGGATTTTTTCGGCTTCCAGATAAATGACTGAGTTTTTGTATGTAGGTACGTTATGTATAGTGTTTGTAATTGTTCGTTTAGTATATAAACTTAGTACGATATTTGTGCCCTGATACTGCATGATATCAAGACCTACTTTTCATACAGTTCGCTTGTATATAAGGTGTAGTTTTGAAACCGTGGCATTTCTCGGGAGCATGTCACAGAAGTCATAAAGGTTTAATGTAAGCGAAAATTTCGGGCCAATAGTTAAAAATAAGGCTATAAGAAATCATTTAAATTACACAGTATTTCAGAATAAGCGACAGCAATGTTTCTTATTGGAGTTTTATGGAATTAGGAATAATATCAATTACGTGTTTGAGTTTGTATGTGTTAAGCCGCGTTATAAAGCTAGTTACAAGACGGCGGCGTGTAGTTCGCAATTACGGATTTCCGTAATTTACAGAAAAATGAAAAATATTTACCTACTATTTTTTTTATTGATTCGGACTCAGAATCGATATCCGGGTACTTCCTAGAAAATGACGCGGCTTTAAAACAACACCTTGTATAAGAAGTCATCCTTAGTAATATTGGTATTGTAAGAAAAACATTAGTTTCGAACTGTGAAGAAGAACCTAGAACCATAGTCATAGGTCATAGGGTGCTTAAACTATGACTACAGATTAAGAATACTTAGCCAACGCAATCGCAGCCGCAAGACAGAACTAGTACATTATTAACAAGTTGATAGTTATCGGTCGTTTTAGTTAGTCATCAACATTGACAACACGCGACGCTCCTGGCGCCGGCAACTAATTGAATTGTTGAGCTGTTCGCAATAGTTTACCAAACTCTGTTATGCTATGGTTTCATTACTAATTTACTTGGTTATTGGTTTTGTGTTTGCATAAAAATTGATACGGCATACACTTTAATATGCGAACGTAAGTGAGATAATTTAAGCTTGCGTTGTTATACGCACAGGCCAAATTATTAATGCTCGTGACATCTTTTTTTCTTGTCGACGTGAAGTTTTCTTTTTTCAAAAATTGCTGGCTACATCAGATGATGCTATAATCTTTACATTGGGTGATCAGTTTTCAAAAAGTTTATAATACATATCTCCTATTCAGTCCTCGTTAAATGTTTAGTCCTTGAGTCAGTTTTTACGATACCCACTAGAACAGTAGGGGTGGCAATAAATATATTCTACTCTATTATCGCTTTATGGATAAACCAACGTCTACCGCACGGTACAACATTCCCTTAAGATTTACCGTCGTGCCGTGATGTACAGTGTGCACAAACTCTTCCACGTCTAGACGTCATTACCAAGTACAAACAAACGAACGTCGGAACTGTATTTATATGTATCGATGAACTTATACAGGGTGCATAGATTTCAATGTCTAGACGGAATACATTAAGCCAGTCGTTTTGTAATAATCGAAACAGTAATACTGAAGACGGTAATCGTTGCAATCGAGAAATTATTGGGTTTTTGCCTTTCTTGTTAAGGTATTGTGGAGTTCGTAGAACATTTTTGTTTTCGATATTAATAATTCCTATGTCTCGAAATATATTTCGTAGAAAGACTTAAATCTAATCATAATAAAGTGTGGGAGGGCCATGCTTCGGCACGAATGGACCGGCTCGACCGGAGTGATACCACGGCCTCACAGGAAACCGACGTGAAGCAACGCTTGCGTTGTGTTTCGTCGTGTGAGTGAGGTTACCGGAGGCCCAATTACCCTCCCCTTCCCCAATCTCCCCAATTCCTGAATCCCCAACGATCCTCAGACTCCTAATCCCCAAAAGGCCGGTAACGCACCTGTAACGCCTTTGGTCTTCCAGGTGTCCATGGGCGACGCCGATTGCTTACTATCAGGTGATTCGTCTGCTCGTTTAACAGCTTATGCAATAAAAAATATATATATATATATAGAGGTATATATTTAAGGAAGACCGTCAGAGAACTCGTAAATAAATAAAAACTCATTTAAAGGTCTTAAAATGTATCTTACATTGTATCGTCGTCTTTTTTCAACAAAAACATAATACAAAACCTACTAATCTAAAACAGAGTAGAAAAACGTGTAAAGCAATGTAATAATTAAGTTTAATTTACGATAAAACGTTAAAAAAACGAAAACAATAATTAAATATTCATTACGGGGAATTATCGCGTTTCCTTTTAGACGAAAAATTCGCGAAAAGCCTTCGCAGTTTTTTGTTAAGTGAGATCCACTGGATTACT